TCAGACGTGTCAGTAACGGTGTTGTGTGTGTGTGTGTGTGTGTGTGTGTGTGTGTTCTCAGACGTGTCAGTAACGGTGTTGTGTGTGTGTGTGTGTTCTCAGACGTGTCAGTAACGCTGTTGTGTGTGTGTGTGTGTGTGTGTGTGTGTGTGTGTGTGTGTGTGTGTGTGTGTGTGTGTGTGTGTGTGTTCTCATCCATCTCTCTCTCTCCCAGTCGTGTCTGCAGAGGTCGTTCCGCGCTGAGGTCTTCACCTGCCCCGCCTGCCGCCACGACCTGGGCAGAGATTACGCCATGAGCCTCAACAAAACCCTCCAGCTGCTCCTGGATCAGTTCTTCCCCGGATACAGCAAAGGACGATGAGTCTGATCCTCAACATACGGACATAGATCCACACACACACACACACACACACACAGTCCCCCATCAGCACCAGCCTGACATTTGTACCACATGACCGCAAACCCAATGGATGCGGAGTCATGTGACTCGATCATGTGTCCATCATGAACATCATCACGTCTGGATCGACTGAGAATCAACCAGAAACGACAAACTCCTCAGAATCCGTGAATCTAGTGTAGCGTTGAAGCGAGCGCTCCTCGTGAGTCCCGTCAGAAACACGTCGCCTCAAACACAGCATGATCCGCACACAGAAGCTCGCGGCGGCAAACACAGTCCTCCCAAACGCCTCCGCGTGTCCAGATGCTTTCACTGCTCATTCCTGATTTACTTAGATTCTATCGACTGTAAAACATTTCTTTTGTTAATAAAACGAGCATTAGAGGCAGTGTATCGAATACAGTGTGTAAATGCTTTTAATATGGATCGTTTTTATATGTACTTTTAATATTTTAAATGTATAAATACAATTGAATAAATAATATATCAGTTTTTGACATATTAATGGGGGTCCAAATGTGTTTAAATTGAATGAAAATAATGTCACTAATCAGAATATCTCACGCGCGTGTTTCTGAAGTGGAGTCCGAGCCGGTGTTGTGTTCGGTCATGGGAAGAGTGTGTGTTCGCTGAGAATCTCTCCGGATCCGTGTTTCTTCGAGCAAACGTTCGTTTAGCTGACGTGTTCGTCTGTTCGCCGGCTGTTGTTCGTTGCTTGGCCTGTTTGTCCTCTTTTCGTGGTGACGTCCTTCTTCTCAAAAGAGTTCTGCTTTTGTTTTTCAGGAAATGTAAATGTAAAATGTTTAAAGATGATCCCGAATCTCCTTGGTGTGTGTGATCCTCTCTTCTGCTCTGCTTTACTGTGGTGTTTCATGTTTTCTTGCACTTATTACTGGAGACGGGTTTACGTTCCTCCTGTCATCACTCTCGCCGCTCCTCCTCCAGTGTGGTAAATCCCAGCAGACACATCGCTTCCAATTGTGATTCCAAATTTTATACATGGTATAATACTTGTTATGTACTTATTAAATATTTTGATTCCAGAATCAATGTGTGATTTGTCTTTTTTAGTTCTGTTTCACACAGAGAAGAATCACATGATCAGATCTAATACTTTGATTCTTTCAAGGTTCTTATCAGGAAACATGATGAAAATTTAAAATATTCATATTTGGTGAGGAAAGTGTGTTCATATACTACCATACTACTACACGTGCACTGCAAAAATGCTTTTCTTACTCAGTATTTCTGTCTTGTTTTCAGTCCAAATATCTAAAAATTCTTAAATCAAGATGCATTTACTAGATGAGTAGATATTATGTCTTGTTTTCTGGGGATATAAATCAAAATTAAGTGATTTGTAGCTCAAAACGAGCACAATTATCCACCAATGGTGTAAGAAAAATAATCGTAATTCAAACAGAAACAAGATTTTTTTTATCTTACCCCAAATTGCCACATAATTTTGCTTTTTTTTAAGCAACAAATGACTTAATTTTGATTTATATCCCCAGAAAACAAGACATAATATCTACTCATCTAGTAAATGCATCTTGATTTAAGAATTTTTTTATATTTGGACTGGAAACAAGACAAAAATACGAAGTAAGAAAAGCAGATTTAACCTTCCAGAAATGACGTCAACAACCATTTTTAATTCCTCCATGACTTTTTTTTTTTTTTTACACAAAAGGAGATTCTATACAACAGTTCATTTCCGAAATGATAACAGGTGTTAGAAGCCATATTTTCAGTGCAGTATGCATAAACTAGTGTTTCCTAACGCCTCTTGAACACTGGAGACATCTAGTGTTGACTGAGAACATCGCATGCTGGTTGGTGGTGACGTCACCGTATCTCTGCATAAAATTTTAAAGATATATTTCTTTATTTTTCTTACACTAACCAAGCTTCTTTTGTTCACGAGAACACGTTCATTTTGTCTAGATGTGAAGCCATACTGTAAAAATCTCTCAAACCCATAAACAATAATAATAACAACAAATATCTTAAGGACTATGATCTTATCTTGATTGATTTGTTGGTTTTATATACCTGTGTATCTTTTTCCTTTCGTTTTCATTTTCACCCCAAAATCAATATAAAAGGAAACTTTTGAATTGACAGGCTTAGTTAATTATCATGAAAATATCATTATAATCAGGCATTAATATCATTCTAAGATAAAAATCATGTCACAAGATAAAAAGACTTCTTCACGAATTTCTTCTTTATTTCTTTAGATTTTTATGGTGCAAGCCATGTTGAAAATATCGTATTTACAAATTGAACTTCTAAAAGCTTGTTTTACCCACCGAATAAAAAAGGTAATTGCGACTTTTGATCTCACAATTTCGTTTAAATCTCACAATTCAGACTTTTTCTCGTAGTTCTGACTTAATAACGTACAGTTTCTATCTCGCAATTCCGACTTTTTCTGGCAATTCGTACTTTTTTTCTCGCAATTCTGACTTTATAACTTGCAATAGAGAGTTTCTATCTCGCAATTCTGAGGGGGGAAAGTCGTAATTATGTTTTAAATTGTTTTATTCAGTGGCGAAAACAAGCTTCCACATGAACGCCAACACAAAATCGTATACGAGTGGGAAGCTCTGTGTGTGTGTGTGTGTGTGTGTGTGTGTGTGTGTGTGTCAGAGGTGGCGGAATACCACAATATTTATCGGTATTTAGCAGTGACATTGTCAGGCTTTTTTTATTTACAACTAAACAAGCTTTAGATTCCCTGGACAAAATATAACATCATTGTAATGTAACGATAATGTTTATTGTGGCTTCATAAATCAATAAAAACCGATAAAAAGCAAACACAACTGCTGCACATTCTTATACTTAATTTCTAGGAGCAGAGTTTAAAACCTTATTGTAGTTTTGAGTAGTTAATTTATTTTACTGTCTATGTTAATTACGTGGTGATGGTACACCGCCATCTTGCTTCGACGAAAGTGACGTGATGTCGGAAACACGACTCGACAATACGAACTTCCGAGATCGCTGAGCTGGAATTTGAGATTCACCTGAAGATTTCAGAGTTTGTTCCCTGTTTAAGATCCAATCTGAACATTTACTCTGGGAGCTTTACTGAGAACAGTTGATTTTCTCAAACATTAGTATGTCTGGAGGGAAGAGCGGGACAGAATGAAGAAGTGTTTTAAGACAAATAAATCTGGAACATTCTGGAGTATTCACACAGGTTCATGTTTCTAGCCTTGAGCAAATGAAAAGAATTAGATTTCATTCCTTTCCTTTGTATTAAACCTTGCTGTAACTCTGGTCCTCTAACTAACATGTATGAAGTTTTGATTATTTTTCTGCACACACACACGCACGCGCGCGCGCACACATGTAAACAGCGGTCTGTGATTCAGTGTCGCCGAGTCTCTCATCTCATTCGCTATCACACGCTTTTCGCGTAAATCTGACAGGGTTTCCCTCGTGAAAGCGGAAAAACAACCGCGACGTTAGCGGCGTTTTTCTGACAGATCGCGCCTCAGTGGAACTATGAGATTCATCGGTCCCCGGGAGAAAGAGCGGCGGCTGCCCGGCTCAGGCGAGCCCTCTCGGGTGTGAGAGCGAAATCGAGGCCGCTGGCGCTGAGGCCTATTGCGGCCGGTTTAATGTTTCACTCGACAATACAGGGCAGCGCTCCGGTAATGCTGTAAAAACTCCTAAAACATGAAAGACTGGGAGATTAACACAAATTATAGCTGGTTGATGGACTTTAAATGAGTTTCAGCCGATTTGTTGATTTGTAGAAATTCATGGAAGTGCACGAGTTTGAATTATTATTATTTATTAGATCATGATTTATGCAGTACTTACATCAAGTACTCATTTAACTTGAAGTATAGTATTTTTTTCTTTAAACGGTATGTCCATATTCTCCTTATTTTAAGAAGTTTATTTATTTTTAATCAAAATACAAACTAATCAACTGAAGTAATAAAACTTCCATCAATTTGCTATTTTGTTAACATTTATATTTATTATTTATTGAAATTAATTTTATGTCAGGGCCAAATGAAACATTTTCTGCATTATTTCCCCAAATCTATTTTTTCTGGATTCTCTTTTATTAATGATTACATTTTAATAATCTAAAAGCTTGTCTGATGGACTCACTTAATAACATTTCAATTTAATATTTATCAACAGGGCCTTTAGAAATCTATTTCCCCATACAAATTCTGTTATTTCTTTTCCACAAATTCTCTGTTTTTCATTTGAATCTTTTTCTGGGTTCCGTTTTAACGTTTTAACATCTTTCTTCACACAGTCTCCGTCAGGACCAGCAATGGCTTCTTCATGTGATGCCAGATTGACATTGATTGACAGATGATGCTGGAGGCACCTGTGCAGGTGAGCATCACGGCAGGAGAATGAAGCTTCATTCGGACCCGAGCGAGAGCACACACACGTGTGAGGACATGAACCTGAACCACCGTTTGACCTTGACCTCCTGCGCGCTGAAACCCGCGGGCCTGGAGGGGGCGGAGCTCCTGTGCAACGGGTCGTCTGACCAATCAGGGCTTGAGAATTTCACGGCACACTGTGATGAAAGTGACCCGGTGACCTCTGAAGACGACAGCAGGTCCAGTACGGTGGAAAACGGAGACGATCTCACGCCCGAGATCCAGCAGGCCTACAGAATATTTCAAAGCTTTCTTTCGGAGAAGCATAAATCCATAACGGCCCCGTTCTGGCATCCCGGATCCCAGAGCCCTGATGCAGACATGAGCTTCAGAAAGATGCGTGATAAATTTGTAAATCGCGAGTATGAATCCATCACTGCGTTCGTGGCCGATTTCAGACTGATGTTAGAGAACTGTTATCGCTCTCACGGAGTCGATCACTGGATCTCCAAACAGGCCCAGAAACTGGAGATTATTCTCGAACAAAAGTTGACCCTGTTGTCCAGGTAATAATAACAAGTCGCTGTTGAGATTCAGTCATGTGACTCAAGAACGAATTATGTTCAAGTTCGCTGCCGCTTAGAATGTAGTTTAACAGAATGGATTAGTTTCCAATTTTACAGTGAAATTAATTCTGGATGCAACAATGTACTTAACTAACAATTTCTGAAGCATTTACTTTAGAATCTCTACATTAAAAGTTACAGTAAGATGTTATTGTTTAGCTAACTGTGTTTTTTTTTTTTTATATGTACATTTCTGAAATGCATAACTTCGACAGTTTCCTCTGATAACAGATCACTCTAAATTGTAATATGGACTCATGCACTTTCTGTAAAGCTGCTTTGAAATTATGTGTATTGTGAAAAGCGCTATACAAATAAACATGAATTGAATTGAAGCTTTGAGATTCACTCATGTTTTCTTTCCCACACCAGGACGTTGCGTGAGAAAACCACGCTAGCCGTGACCTCCAGAGGTCGTTTCGGCACCGAGGATGAGAAAGCGTCGGTCGGCACGTCGTCCAGGCGGCGTTTGGTGCCACGAAACCTGGCGGCCATTACAGTGGGCGGCAGCGAGTCCATCATGGTGCAGGCGCTGAGACTGGAGGAGCTGCAGAAAGCCAAAGACCAGAAGAGGTGAACACACACATCATGGGGAAAACACTTTCATTTGAACATATAGATCCATAGGGAATCACTTTCATTTGAACATATAGATCCATAGGAAATCACTTTCATTTGAACATATAGATCCATAAGGAATCACTTTCATTTGAACATATAGATCCATAGGGAACCACTTTTATTTGAACATATAGATCCATAGGGAATCACTTTCATTTGAACATATAGATCCATAGGGAATCACTTTTATTTAAACATATAGATCCATAAGTAATCACTTTCATTTGAACATATAGATCCATAGGGAACCACTTTTATTTGAACATATAGATCCATAGGACATCACTTTTATTTGAACATATGGATCCATAAGGGATCACTTTCATTTGAACATTTAGATCCATAGGGAACCACTTTTATTTGAACATATAGATCCATAAGGAATCAGTTTCATTTGAACATATAGATCCATAGGTAATCACTTTCATTTGAACCTATATATCCATAGGGAATCACTTTCATTTGAGCATATAGATCCATAGGGAATCACTTTTATTTGAACATATAGATCCATAAGGAATCACTTTTATTTGAACGTATAGATCCTTAGGGAATCACTTTCATTTGAACATATAGATCCATAGGGAATCATTTTTTATTTGAACATATAGATCCATAGGGAACCACTTTCATTTGAACCTATATATCCATAGGGAATCACTTTCATTTGAGCATATAGATCCATAGGGAATCACTTTTATTTGAACATATAGATCCATAAGGAATCACTTTTATTTGAACGTATAGATCCTTAGGGAATCACTTTCATTTGAACATATAGATCCATAGGGAATCATTTTTTATTTGAACATATAGATCCATAGGGAACCACTTTTATTTGAACATAGAGATCCATAAGGAATCACTTTCATTTGAACATATAGATCCATAGGGAATTACTTTCATTTGAACCTATAGATCCATAGGGAATCACTTTCATTTGAACCTATAGATCCATAGGGAATCACTTTCATTTGAACATATAGATCCATAGGAAACCACTTTTATTTGAACATATAGATCCATAAGGAATCACTTTTATTTGAACGTATAGATCCTTAGGGAATCACTTTCATTTGAACATATAGATCCATAGGGAATCATTTTTTATTTGAACATATAGTCCATAGGAAACCACTTTCTGAATAATTTGTGGTTTGACTGTATATTTATCAAAATACAATACTCAACACTCATACATAACGACACATTTCATCCTCTGTTGGAACGAAAGTGTCTAACTTCTGTCAACCTCATCAATAAGCAAGGAAAAAAATAAAGCAATTTTTATAAATAAAAACATTTTTTTTCTCCCAGCCCCAGTAAATTTGTTATTATATTTCAGTCATAATTTCTTCAAGTTAAGCCATACTTGTATTTCGTCAGTTTGCATTTTGCACAGAATTCCTGAATCCCGTAACCGTTGACCTTTGACCTCTAGGCAGCGTGAGCTGGAGCGTAAAGAAGCAGAGGAGGCGTCAGTGAAGGATCTGGAGGATTGGGAGAGTTCACTGCTCGCACTGGCGGAACCGTGGGCCGTCCGGACCATGTGGGAGCTTCCCGCCATCGGCCACTTCTTGTGTCTGGCTCAGAAAGCGCTCAACCTCCCCGAGATCGTCTTCTACGAGCTGGAGCGCTGCTTGCTAATGCCGCGCTGTAGCTCGTTCCTAGCTAAGGTCATGACCTCTCTGCTCCTTCACCCGAATAAAAGAGCGAACGCCCACCGCCGCCCGCCGTTGCCGTACAGGAAGTGGGAGGCGGAGCTCCGGCGGCGGGTTCAGGACTGGTACCGTTCGCTCGCGAGGGCCGAGGACCAAACGGCTCGTGCCGAACTCCTAGGACTTTCCCATCAGTTCTTCTGGACGCTAGGAGACGCGAGTCCACTAGAGGAGACGGCGTTCCACATGCTCACGTTTAAACAGCGCGTGTGGCTCCTCAAGGGCCTGTGCGATCACGTGTACGAGACGCAGAAGGACGTTCAGGTCGCGGTTCTCGCGCAGCCGATCCACGAGTGCCGCGAGTCCATCCTGGGCTACGACGCGCAGGAGAACGCGTACATACACTTCCCTCACTTCTGCGGCGCCGACCTGCGGATCTACCGCCAGAGTCCGTGTGTCGCGATGGAGTTTCCTCTTCCGCTGTTACGCGTCAAGAGATCGCAGGAGGAACCGGAGGGGTCAGAGGTCAAGCTGGAAACACGTGAGTTTTATTGTTGCTATTGTTCGTTTGTTTTTTTATTTAAATCATAAAAGTGGTCTCATTAGATTCAGGGCGGCATGTGGCATATCGTTATATAATGCATTGGCATATCATTACAAAACTCAGTATGTTTCTTCGGCACCATGCCCTGAGGGTACTCAAAGTTTCCCCTTGTGGTCAAAATTTGTAATCAAAATTATATTATAAGCAATATATCTCATTACAACGCAATTTATTTATAGGTTGTGAACCTTTTTTCTTAAAATAGTTGTTTCTTTATTTACTAATGTTTGCAGTTGGTCTGCTGCTAGCTTCGTTGTTTGATTCTGTTGTGCTCGTCCCCGATGATTGCTGCTTGCAGCTATATTTATTATTAATTTTATTTAATTACTTAGTCATGGTAGTTAAGCTCATTTAATTTAGAATTTGCGTTTGAAGTGAAGCTTGAAGAACGATCCGCGTCTGTCCGCAGATGTGATGAAGGAGCTGAAGGCATGGAAGGAAGATTCGCTCGTCGACAGGGAGGATCCGGATCAGAAATGTTCCTCGAGCTTCTTCTCATGGTCGCTGGACTCTGGAAGCGTTCGAGGAGCGTTCACCGAGGAGGAGCGGTTGAAAGAAGAGGACGAGGACGAGTGCGAGCTGAGCTTCGGAGTGGGAGAGAGCCGATATAAGGGAGTTGCACCCGCTCTGAATAGTCACAGTAGTCCTGAAAAAGATGCGAATCACATGACCTGTGAGGACCAATCACAACGCCAGAAGAAGAGACAGAAGAAGAAAGACTTGAAGAAACCCAAACTGAGCTTGAAGAAGCGAACGGGTAAAAGCAGCGTGACGAGAGCGGCTACAGCCGTGAAGAAGAAAGACCGGAGGAAAAGACGGAAACCGGGTGAATAATACACACTTTCACTTCATGTTGACTAAATGAAACGGTAACACTGTACTATAAGGTTCATTAGTTGACTTACCTTAGTTAACATGAGCTAAGAATGAACAATACTTCTACAGCATTTATTAATCTTAGTTAATATTGATTTCAACATTTACTAATATGTCATGACGTAGAAATAGCGTAATGACGTAGAAATAGCGTGATGACGTAGAAATAGCGTGATGGCGTAGAAATAGCGTGATGGCGTTGAAATAGCGTGATGGCGTAGAAATAGCGTGATGGCGTAGAAATAGCGTGATGGCGTAGAAATAGCGTAATGGCGTAGAAATAGCGTGATGGCGTTGAAATAGCGTAATGACGTTGAAATAGCGTGATGGCGTAGAAATAGCGTAATGGCGTAGAAATAGCGTGATGGCGTAGAAATAGCGTGATGGCGTTGAAATAGCGTAATGACGTTGAAATAGCGTGATGGCGTTGAAATAGCGTAATGACGTTGAAATAGCGTGATGGCGTAGAAATAGCGTGATGGCGTTGAAATAGCGTGATGGCGTTGAAATAGCGTGATGGCGTTGAAATAGCGTGATGGCGTTGAAATAGCGTGATGGCGTAGAAATAGCGTGATGGCGTAGAAATAGCGTAATGGCGTAGAAATAGCGTGATGGCGTAGAAATAGCGTGATGGCGTTTAAATAGCGTAATGACGTTGAAATAGCGTGATGGCGTAGAAATAGCGTGATGGCGTTGAAATAGCGTAATGACGTTGAAATAGCGTGATGGCGTAGAAATAGCGTGATGGCGTAGAAATAGCGTGATGGCGTTGAAATAGCGTGTTGGCGTTGAAATAGCGTGATGGCGTTGAAATAGCGTGATGGCGTTCAAATAGCGTGATGGCGTTGAAATAGCGTGATGGCGTAGAAATAGCGTAATGGCGTAGAAATAGCGTGATGGCGTAGAAATAGCGTGATGGCGTAGAAATAGCGTGATGGCGTAGAAATAGCGTGATGGCGTTGAAATAGCATAATGACGTTGAAATAGCGTGATGGCGTAGAAATAGCGTGATGGCGTAGAAATAGCGTAATGTAGAAATAGCGTAATGACGTTGAAATAGCGTGATGGCGTAGAAATAGCGTAATGGCGTAGAAATAGCGTAATGGCGTAGAAATAGCGTGATGGCGTAGAAATAGCTTGATGTAGAAATAGCGTTATGACGTTGAAATAGCGTGATGACGTAGAAATAGCGTGATGGCGTAGAAATAGCGTAATGTAGAAATAGCGTAATGTAGAAATAGCGTGATGACGTTGAAATAGCGTAATGGCTAGGGCTGGGTACCGAGTTCGGTACTTTTTAGGTACCGACCGAATTGCCTCGATACTACCGAGTATCGAAACATGTCTTGTTTTTCGGTACCAAATTTCGGTACCTAAGTGGTTAATCTCGTCAACGTCAGTGAAACAATAAGCATTCAGTATGATTGGCTGTGGCGGAAAAACACTAGTTTACGCGGCTGCCCAGAGACGCGGCTCGTCGCACGTGAGGCTGTAGTGTGTGTTAGAAGCGCACAGAATACACTTGAGAGTAATGGTGTGTTCACACCGAACGCGAATAGAGCGTCAAATACGCGTATATCGCGTCTAGTCAGACGCTTAAATCTTCCGCTCGAGTTCAAATTTTTCAACTTGCGCAGAAGACGTTCGCGGCAAACGCATAATTCGCGACGCCCGCGAATGATGCGTCTATTCACGTCTTTGCATTGACTTTGTATGTAATCTACTCGCACAAATAATTAAATTCGCTTTCGGTGTGAACAAGCCATTAGTAAACACTTGTTCATTAATAAATAATTAAAATATCTCCTTGCTATTGTTTCCACATCCATAATTATTAGGCTACTTTTGCCAGTGCTTTGCGGCAAGCTTCACGTGCTGAGCGCGAGGCAAATATCCCGCCCCCCAGTAGCCTATATTTAATTTAATTCACATTTATTTGTATAGCATTTTTCACAATAGATATCGTTTCAAAGCAGCTTTACAGAAAATGCATGTGTCTAAATTACAATTTAGAGTGATCTGTTATCAGAGGTGACAGTGTAATGCATTTCAATTAATTTTCATTCAGTTTCATTGTTAAACAATGCATTAAGGCAGAAACAATGAGCTCATTGAAGTAAAGAGTATGTTGTTAAATGATTAGGAAACATAGAAAACTTTAGCATTGGTGCTTTTTTACAAACTCAAAATATGAGTGTAAAAAAGTAAACAAACTGAAAAAGAAAAAAAATTAGGTAATGTTATATTGTTAAAACTGGTTACATAAAATTGGTATCGGAAAAAGTATCGTTCAGGAACCGGTATCGAAGTCAAGGTATCGGTATCGGTATCGAACATTTTGTTACGATACCCAGCCCTAGTAATGGCGTAGAAATAGCTTGATGTAGAAATAGCATAATGTAGAAATAGCTTGACGTAGAAATAGCGTAATGACGTAGAAATATCGCAATCGTAACCCGATCACATGTTCAGCGCTCATGTAAACACTACATTCAGATTCATCAATCGTAACAAAAGTTGTGCATGTGAACAAATAGTCTAGACTGGATCTCGATCACACATTCGGTTGATTTTACAGGAGCCTTGTAAGTGCTTTTCTTGATTTTACTTTTTGTCTTGTGTGAGTTTTGTCTTGTGTTGTCTTGTGTGAGTTTTGTCTTGTGTGAGTTTTGTCTTGTGTGAGTTTTGTCATGTGTGAGTTTTGTCTTGTGTTTTGTCATGTGTGAGTTTTGTCTTGTGTGAGTTTTGTCTTGTGTGAGTTTTGTCTTGTGTGAGTTTTGTCATGCGTGAGTTTTGTCTTGCGTGAGTTTTGTCTTGCGTGAGTTTTGTCTTGCGTGAGTTTTGTCTTGCGTGAGTTTTGTCTTGCGTGAGTTTTGTCTTGTGTGAGTTTTGTCTTGCGTGAGTTTTGTCTTGCGTGAGTTTTGTCTTGTGTGAGTTTTGTCTTGTGTGAGTTTTGTCTTGTGTGATTTTTGTCTTGCGTGAGTTTTGTCTTGCGTGAGGCGTGAGTTTTGTCTTGCGTGAGTTTTGTCTTGTGTGAGTTTTGTCTTGTGTGAGTTTTGTCATGTGTGAGTTTTGTCTTGCGTGAGTTTTGTCTTGCGTGAGTTTTGTCTTGCGTGAGTTTTGTCTTGCGTGAGTTTTGTCTTGCGTGAGTTTTGTCTTGCGTGAGTTTTGTCTTGCGGGAGTTTTGTCTTGTGTGAGTTTTGTCTTGCGTGAGTTTTGTCTTGTGTGAGTTTTGTCTTGCGTGAGTTTTGTCTTGTGTGAGTTTTGTCTTGTGTGAGTTTTGTCTTGTGTGAGTTTTGTCTTGCGTGAGTTTTGTCTTGCGTGAGGCGTGAGTTTTGTCTTGCATGAGTTTTGTCTTGCGTGAGTTTTGTCTTGCGTGAGTTTTGTCTTGCGTGAGTTTTGTCTTGTGTGAGTTTTGTCTTGTGTGAGTTTTGTCTTGTGTGAGTTTTGTCTTGTGTGAGTTTTGTTTGTCTTGTGTGAGTTTTGTCTTGTGTGAGTTTTGTCTTGTGTGAGTTTTGTCTTGCGTGAGTTTTGTCTTGTGTGAGTTTTGTCTTGTGTGAGTTTTGTCTTGCGTGAGTTTTGTCTTGCGTGAGTTTTGTCTTGTGTGAGTTTTGTCTTGCGTGAGTTTTGTCTTGTGTGAGTTTTGTCTTGTGTGAGTTTTGTCTTGTGTGAGTTTTGTCTTGTGTGAGTTTTGTCTTGTGTGAGTTTTGTCTTGCGTGAGTTTTGTCTTGCGTGAGGCGTGAGTTTTGTCTTGCATGAGTTTTGTCTTGCGTGAGTTTTGTCTTGCGTGAGTTTTGTCTTGTGTGAGTTTTGTCTTGTGTGAGTTTTGTCTTGTGTGAGTTTTGTCTTGTGTGAGTTTTGTTTGTCTTGTGTGAGTTTTGTCTTGTGTGAGTTTTGTCTTGTGTGAGTTTTGTCTTGCGTGAGTTTTGTCTTGTGTGAGTTTTGTCTTGTGTGAGTTTTGTCTTGTGTGAGTTTTGTCTTGTGTGAGTTTTGTCTGTCTTGTGTGAGTTTTGTCTGTCTTGTGTGAGTTTTGTCTTGTGTGAGTTTTGTCTTGTGTGAGTTTTGTCTTGCGTGAGTTTTGTCTTGCGTGAGTTTTGTCTTGCGTGAGTTTTGTCTTGTGTGAGTTTTGTCTTGTGTGAGTTTTGTCTTGTGTGAGTTTTGTCTTGTGTGAGTTTTGTTTGTCTTGTGTGATTTTTGTCTTGTGTGAGTTTTGTCTTGTGTGAGTTTTGTCTTGTGTGAGTTTTGTCTTGTGTGAGTTTTGTCTTGTGTGAGTTTTGTTTGTCTTGTGTGAGTTTTGTTTGTCTTGTGTGAGTTTTGTCTTGTGTGAGTTTTGTCTTGTGTGAGTTTTGTCTTGAGTGAGTTTTGTCTTGTGTGAGTTTTGTCTTGAGTGAGTTTTGTCTTGAGTGAGTTTTGTCTTGCGTGAGTTTTGTCTTGCGTGAGTTTTGTCTTGAGTGAGTTTTGTCTTGTGTGAGTTTTGTCTTGTGTGAGTTTTGTCTTGTGTGAGTTTTGTCTTGAGTGAGTTTTGTCTTGTGTGAGTTTTGTCTTGTGTGAGTTTTGTCTTGTGTGAGTTTTGTCTTGTGTGAGTTTTGTCTTGTGTGAGTTTTGTCTTGTGTGAGTTTTGTCTTGTGTGAGTTTTGTCTTGAGTGAGTTTTGTCTTGTGTGAGTTTTGTCTTGTGTGAGTTTTGTCTTGTGTGAGTTTTGTCATGTGTGAGTTTTGTCTTGCGTGAGTTTTGTCTTGTGTGAGTTTTGTCTTGTGTGAGTTTTGTCTTGTGTGAGTTTTGTCTTGAGTGAGTTTTGTCTTGTGTGAGTTTTGTCTTGAGTGAGTTTTGTCTTGTGTGAGTTTTGTCTTGCGTGAGTTTTGTCTTGCGTGAGTTTTGTCTTGTGTGAGTTTTGTCTTGTGTGAGTTTTGTCTTGCGTGAGTTTTGTCTTGCGTGAGTTTTGTCTTGCGTGAGTTTTGTCTTGCGTGAGTTTTGTCTTGCGTGAGTTTTGTCTTGCGTGAGTTTTGTCTTGCGTGAGTTTTGTCTTGCGTGAGTTTTGTCTTGCGTGAGTTTTGTCTTGCGTGAGTTTTGTCTTGTGTGAGTTTTGTCTTGAGTGAGTTTTGTCTTGTGTGAGTTTTGTCTTGTGTGAGTTTTGTCTTGCGTGAGTTTTGTCTTGCGTGAGTTTTGTCTTGCGTGAGTTTTGTCTTGCGTGAGTTTTGTCTTGCGTGAGTTTTGTCTTGTGTGAGTTTTGTCTTGTGTGAGTTTTGTCTTGAGTGAGTTTTGTCTTGTGTGAGTTTTGTCTTGTGTGAGTTTTGTCTTGTGTGAGTTTTGTCTTGTGTGAGTTTTGTCTTGTGTGAGTTTTGTTTGTCTTGAGTGAGTTTTGTCTTGTGTGAGTTTTGTCTTGTGTGAGTTTTATCTTGAGTGAGTTTTGTCTTGAGTGAGTTTTGTCTTGTGTGAGTTTTGTCTTGTGTGAGTTTTGTCTTGTGTGAGTTTTGTCTTGTGTGAGTTTTGTCTTGTGTGAGTTTTGTCTTGTGTGAGTTTTGTCTTGTGTGAGTTTTGTCTTGTGTGAGTTTTGTTTGTCTTGTGTGAGTTTTGTCTTGTGTGAGTTTTGTCTTGTGTGAGTTTTGTCTTGTGTGAGTTTTGTTTGTCTTGTGTGAGTTTTGTCTTGTGTGAGTTTTGTCTTGTGTGAGTTTTGTCTTGTGTGAGTTTTGTCTTGTGTGAGTTTTGTTTGTCTTGTGTGAGTTTTGTCTTGTGTGAGTTTTGTCTTGTGTGAGTTTTGTCTTGTGTGGTTATCTGTGAGAGTCTGTGCCGCTGTCTCGTCCAGGCGTCTGGAGGAGAGAGTGATCTCTCGATGGGATTTAATGGTTAAATAAAGGATAAATAAGTAAACGCAGTGTTTCTCCGTCATCAGGGAACAGGGTTGATGGGAAACTTTTGAGGAGACCAACGGGATCTGCTCTTCTCCAATCAGGACCCTCGTTTCAGGTCAGCTGACACACACACACACTGCACATAATCTCACCCTTTACGGGAAAACACTCACGATATATGAATATGAAAATCTTTATTTCAAACTAATAAAATAATATATTCCTCATTTGTGAGTCACTTTGGATAAAAAAATGTCTGCTAAATGAATGAAAGTAAATGCAAAACTTTCTTTATGTGTTTTATATGTCTTTAAAATGTTTTGAAAATGCTATTTTTGAAGAATAGTTAGTGCATCTTAAAACATGTTTGATGTTGATTCTGATCTCGATTCAATAGAGGGCGGCAGATATTCACTTTAGTAGAATTTATTACAATGCATTTAAACATGCTAGAAATTTTTTTTTGCCAGAAATGAATACCTTTTCATCAAGGATGCATCAAATTGGTCAAAAATAATGTTACAAAAGATTCTATTTCAAATAAGTTCTGCTCTTTTGAACTTTATATTTATCTAAGAATCCTGAAAAATAAAATATTTCACAATTTCCACAAAAATATGAACTGATAATAATTATAAATGTTTCTTGAGCATCAGATCATCATATTAGAGTGATTTCTGAAGGATCATGTGACACTGAAGACTGGAGTAATGATGCTGAACATTCAGCTTTGATCACAGGAATAAATTACACTTCACTGTATATTCACATAGACAACAGATGATTTACACTGGAGTAATATTACACTGTTTACTGTGTTTCTGATGTAATAAACGCAGCCTGTGAGAGCAGAAGAGACTCAGGAACATCAGAGATCTCTCCGCCCCCGTGAGTGTGTGTGTGTGTATGAAGTGCTGCTTCTTCTTGTTGTTCCTGTAGTTGATCTGCTCCAGTCTGGATGATCTCCGAGTCCTGATCAGCAAAACACAAGATCAGCTACAACAACTGAATGGCGGCAAAAAGAGATCTGTTAGTAAGAGAGGGAACACACACACACTCAAACAGACACACACACACACTCACACTCACGCACACTCTCAAACACACACACACACTCTCAAACACACATACACACTCTCAAACACACACACACACACTCAGACACACACACACACACACACTCTCAAACTGACACACAATCACACTCACACACGCTCTCAAACAGACACACACTCTCACACACACTCTCAAACAGACACTCACACACACTCTCAAACAGACACACACTCTCAAACAGACACTCACACATGCTCTCAAATAGACACACACTCACACACACTCTCAAACAGACACTCACACACGCTCTCAAACAGACACACACACACTCTCAAACAGACACTCACACACACTCTCAAACAGACACTCACACACACTCTCAAACAGACACTCACACACACTCTCAAACAGACACACACTCTCAAACAGACACTCACACATGCTCTCAAACAGACACTCACACACACTCTCAAACAGACACACACTCTCAAACAGACACTCACACACACTCTCAAACAGACACTCACACACACTCTCAAACAGACACTCACACACACTCTCAAACAGACACTCACACACACTCTCAAACAGACACTCACACACACTCTCAAACAGACACACTCTCAAACAGACACTCACACACACTCTCAAACAGACAGACTCTCAAACAGACACTCACACACACTCTCAAACAGACACTCACACACTCTCAAACAGACACACACACACGCTCTCAAACAGACACACACTCTCAAACAGACACTCACACGCTCTCAAACAGACACTCACACACACTCTCAAACAGACACTCACACACGCTCTCAAACAGACACACACTCTCACACACACTCTCAAACAGACACACACACACGCTCTCAAACAGACACTCACACACTCTCTCAAACAGACACTCACACACACTCTCAAACAGACACTCACACACACTCTCAAACAGACACTCACACACACTCTCAAACAGACACTCACACACACTCTCAAACAGACACTCACACACACTCTCAAACAGACACTCACACACACTCTCAAACAGACACTCACACATGCTCTCAAATAGACACACACTCTCAAACAGACACTCACACACACGCTCTCAAACAGACACTCACACACACTCTCAAACAGACACTCACACACGCTCTCAAACAGACACACACACACACTCTCAAACAGACACTCACACACGCTCTCAAACAGACACACACTCTCACACACACTCTCAAACAGACACTCACACACGCTCTCAAACAGACACTCACACACACTCTCAAACAGACACTCACACACACTCTCAAACAGACACTCACACACACTCTCAAACAGACACTCACACACACTCTCAAACAGACACGCACACACACTCTCAAACAGACACTCACACACACTCTCAAACAGACACTCACACACACTCTCAAACAGACACTCACACACACTCTCAAACAGACACTCACACACACTCTCAAACAGACACTCACACACGCTCTCAAACAGACACTCACACACGCTCTCAAACAGACACTCACACACACTCTCAAACAGACACACACTCTCACACACACTCTCAAACAGACACTCACACACACTCTCAAACAGACACTCACACACACTCTCAAACAGACACGCACACACACTCTCAAACAGACACTCACACACACTCTCAAACAGACACTCACACACACTCTCAAACAGACACTCACACACACTCTCAAACAGACACTCACACACACTCTCAAACAGACACTCACACACACTCTCAAACAGACACTCACACACACTCTCAAACAGACACTCACACACTCTCAAACAGACACTCACACAAACTCTCAAACAGACACTCACACATGCTCTCAAACAGACACTCACACACACTCTCAAACAGACACTCACACACACTCTCAAACAGACACACACTCTCACACACACTCTCAAACAGACACTCACACACACTCTCAAACAGACACTCACACACACTCTCAAACAGACACGCACACACACTCTCAAACAGACACTCACACACACTCTCAAACAGACACTCACACACACTCTCAAACAGACACTCACACACACTCTCAAACAGACACTCACACACACTCTCAAACAGACACTCACACACACTCTCAAACAGACACTCACACACACTCTCAAACAGACACTCACACACACTCTCAAACAGACACTCACACACACTCTCAAACAGACACTCACACACACTCTCAAACAGACACTCACACACACTCTCAAACAGACACTCACACACACTCTCAAACAGACACTCACACACACTCTCAAACAGACACTCACACACACTCTCAAACAGACACTCACACAAACTCTCAAACAGACACTCACACACGCTCTCAAACAGACACTCACACACACTCTCAAACAGACACACACTCTCACACACACTCTCAAACAGACACACACACACACTCACACACACTCTCAAACAGACACACACACACGCTCTCAAACAGACACTCACACACACTCTCAAACAGACACTCACACACACTCTCAAACAGACACTCACACACACTCTCAAACAGACACTCACACACACTCTCAAACAGACACTCACACACACTCTCAAACAGACACGCACACACACTCTCAAACAGACACTCACACACACTCTCAAACAGACACACACACACTCTCAAACAGACACTCACACAAACTCTCAAACAGACACTCACACACACTCTCAAACAGACACTCACACACACTCTCAAACAGACACTCACACACACTCTCAAACAGACACACACACACGCTCTCAAACAGACACACACTCTCAAACAGACACTCACACATGCTCTCAAACAGACACACACTCTCAAACAGACACTCACACACACTCTCAAACAGACACACACACACACTCTCAAACAGACACACACACACACTCTCAAACAGACACTCACACACACTCTCAAACAGACACACACTCTCAAACAGACACTCACACATGCTCTCAAACAGACACACACTCTCAAACAGACACTCACACACACTCTCAAACAGACACACACACACGCTCTCAAACAGACACTCACACACGCTCTCAAACAGACACTCACACACACTCTCAAACAGACACTCACACACGCTCTCAAACAGACACACACTCTCAAACAGACACACACTCTCAAACAGACACTCACACACACTCTCAAACAGACACACACTCTCAAACAGACACTCACACACGCTCTCAAACAGACACTCACACACACTCTCAAACAGACACTCACACACACTCTCAAACAGACACTCACACACACTCTCAAACAGACACTCACACACACTCTCAAACAGACACGCACACACACTCTCAAACAGACACTCACACACACTCTCAAACAGACACTCACACACACTCTCAAACAGACACTCACACACACTCTCAAACAGACACTCACACACACTCTCAAACAGACACTCACACAAACTCTCAAACAGACACTCACACACGCTCTCAAACAGACACTCACACACACTCTCAAACAGACACACACTCTCACACACACTCTCAAACAGACACACACACACACTCACACACACTCTCAAACAGACACACACACACGCTCTCAAACAGACACTCACACACACTCTCAAACAGACACTCACACACACTCTCAAACAGACACTCACACACACTCTCAAACAGACACTCACACACACTCTCAAACAGACACTCACACACACTCTCAAACAGACACTCACACACACTCTCAAACAGACACTCACACACACTCTCAAACAGACACACACACACTCTCAAACAGACACTCACACAAACTCTCAAACAGACACTCACACACACTCTCAAACAGACACTCACACACACTCTCAAACAGACACTCACACACACTCTCAAACAGACACACACACACGCTCTCAAACAGACACACACTCTCAAACAGACACTCACACATGCTCTCAAACAGACACACACTCTCAAACAGACACTCACACACACTCTCAAACAGACACACACACACACTCTCAAACAGACACACACACACACTCTCAAACAGACACTCACACACACTCTCAAACAGACACACACTCTCAAACAGACACTCACACATGCTCTCAAACAGACACACACTCTCAAACAGACACTCACACACACTCTCAAACAGACACACACACACGCTCTCAAACAGACACTCACACACACTCTCAAACAGACACTCACACACACTCTCAAACAGACACTCACACACGCTCTCAAACAGACACACACTCTCAAACAGACACACACTCTCAAACAGACACTCACACACACTCTCAAACAGACACACACTCTCAAACAGACACACACTCTCAAACAGACACTCACACACGCTCTCAAACAGACACTCACACACACTCTCAAACAGACACACACACACACGCTCTCAAACAGACACACACTCTCAAATAGACACTCACACATGCTCTCAAACAGACACACACTCTCAAACAGACACTCACACACACTCTCAAACAGACACACACACACGCTCTCAAACAGACACTCACACACACTCTCAAACAGACACTCACACACACTCTCAAACAGACACTCACACACGCTCTCAAACAGACACACACTCTCAAACAGACACACACTCTCAAACAGACACTCACACACACTCTCAAACAGACACACACTCTCAAACAGACACACACTCTCAAACAGACACACACACACGCTCTCAAACAGACACACACTCTCAAACAGACACTCACACATGCTCTCAAACAGACACACACTCTCAAACAGACACTCACACACACTCTCAAACAGACACACACACACACTCTCAAACAGACACACACACACACTCTCAAACAGACACTCACACACACTCTCAAACAGACACACACTCTCAAACAGACACTCACACATGCTCTCAAACAGACACACACTCTCAAACAGACACTCACACACACTCTCAAACAGACACACACACACGCTCTCAAACAGACACTCACACACACTCTCAAACAGACACTCACACACACTCTCAAACAGACACTCACACACGCTCTCAAACAGACACACACTCTCAAACAGACACACACTCTCAAACAGACACTCACACACACTCTCAAACAGACACACACTCTCAAACAGACACACACTCTCAAACAGACACTCACACACGCTCTCAAACAGACACTCACACACACTCTCAAACAGACACACACACACACGCTCTCAAACAGACACACACTCTCAAATAGACACTCACACATGCTCTCAAATAGACACACACTCTCAAACAGACACTCACACACACTCTCAAACAGACACTCACACACGCTCTCAAACAGACACACACTCTCAAACAGACACTCACACACACACTCTCAAACAGACACACACACACACTCACACACACTCTCAAACAGACACTCACACACACTCTCAAACAGACACACACACACACACACTCTCAAACAGACACACACACTTACACAGTCACACTCACTCACACACACACACACACACACACACTCACAGACACACACACACTTACACAGTCACACTCACTCTCACACACACACACTCACACACACACACTCACAGACACACAAACACACTCACAGACACAAACACACACACACTCAAACACGCTCACACAAACACACACACAAATACTCTCAAACACACTCACAAATACACACACACACACACATTCTCTCACACACTCCCATATACTCGCACACACACACTCCCTCACTCACATAAACACTCTCTCTCTCACACACACACTCTCAATCACTCACTCACACACACACACACACTCTCAAACTCATTCTCTCCCACACACACATATATACTCACACATACTCTCACACACACACGCTCTCTCTGTCTCTCTCCCACACATACACACACTCACACACACTCTCACACACACACTCTCAAACTCATTCTCTCACACACACACATATATACTCACACATACTCTCACACGCTCTCTCACATACTCTCACACACACACGCTCTCTCTCTCTCTCTCCCACACATACACACACTCACACACACTCTCACACACACACTCTCAAACTCATTCTCTCCCACACACACACATATATACTCACACATACTCTCACACGCTCTCTCACACACACACACACACACACACACACACACACACTCTCTCTCTCTCTCCCACACATACACACACTCACACACACTCTCTCATACACACATTCACACATTCACGCATTCTCTCACACATACACACTTTTAATGTGAAATTATATGAATTTGTCATTTCCCAAACCCAGAGCAACTGTAGAGACTTGTAAACGTGTGTGTGTGTGTGTTCCAGGACCGACGGCCGAACAGAAGAGCCGCTGTGAAGGAGTTACACGTCACACTAATCCGGCTGCTAAACGAGCTGTTGCCATGGGAACCCAAACTCGTCAAGGCCTTCCAGAGGAACAGGTCCGCGTCTCTAGTGTCGGTCCGGTTCTGTGAACGCCACTGCTCTGACACACACACACACGTTCATGAATATAGATGGGACATTTTCAGTCTGTGCAATCATATCGAGCCACTATGGAGAATCCTGACATTCTGCACTCTTGTGTTATTCTGGCGAACAGCATTAGCACTAGCATTAGCACTGACAAGCTTTCACTGAATTCATTCACAACACAACTGATAACACACACAACACGGATATACACACGAGAAACAGATACACATACATGAGGAATAATAATAGAATAAAATAAATAGAACTATATACATAATGTCAGAGATAGATGATTTACAGTCTATTGAAATAAAGATAACTAAGGCATCTATAAAACTAAAAAGAAAACCGATTTAAAAAGGGAAACGAGACACTCTTGGGAAAAAGCGAGAGTTTTCCATTGCACTGCGCTGACACACTTCACTGCGTGCTCTCCCTCCTCCTGGAGGCGATGAGTTCCCGGTAACAGCTCTGTGAAGTCATCCCTGTCCTTGTCCTCAACAGAGCACGCTTGAAAAAGGAGTGTGACGACTTCAGGAAACACCCCGAATATGAGCAGTTCACCAGAGAGCGCGTGGAGACGTGTGTGTGTCGAGACGGCTCGCTCTCCGCAGAGGATGGGGGAGCTGTGGAGGACCACTCTGAGGGAGCCGGTGAGCCACGCTCATTTAACCATTGCATAGACTTTTCTAGCTGTAGTGAGTGTGTAATGTTGCTGAGTTACGACTCAAAGCTAAAAGCAAAGGGAGAGATTCGCTTTTACAGAAAACGCTTTTTAAGGACTACAACACACGGCTGGTAGAACTACACGAGCTTCTTCCCGGGTTAGTGACATCACTAACCCTAACATTTACATAAACCCCGCCCCCCGGAACACGATTTATAGATTATCATGACAGAATATGCTGAGATAGTTAACTCCACATCAGCTAAATAAATTAAATTCATCAACTAACCTCAGAGATGTCCTGTTGCTCTACATGTTGTCACTTCTTCTCGAGTCTCTCCATCTTTGTGCGACTCCAGTTTAAACATAAAAGGCTAAAAGTTTTTGAAATGTTCAGTGCGTGCGTGTGTGTGAGGTAATCGGAGCTGCTAACACACACACACACACAAGCTCTTGAAGCTCCGCCCCCTGTGCCGGGAGCAGCGGCTCATTTGCATTTAAAGGGACAGACACACAGAAACGGTGTGTTTTTGCTCACCCTCAAAAAGTGACAATTTTAACATGCTATAGAAAAGGATCTGTGGGGTATTTTGAGCTGAAACTTCACACACACTCTGGGGACATCAGAGACTTATTTTACATCTTGTGAAAAGGCCATTAAGGGACTTGAATTTGACTTTTTGAAATGTAAGTCCTGGAAACGCCTTGAGAACAGCCATATTTATGAAGAAGTGCTTGAAAAGTGCTTGAATCATTGAAAGACAATATATGGGGAATCTTACTGATAAAACAATCTTTTCACACAAAATTAAAGCTGCAGTCCGTCTGATATAGAGGCATTTCTCACGGCTATGAGTGTGATAATGCTCATATGAATATCCAAGTATGTGATACAGCTTTTATTCTTCAGGTCATTCATATATTCATGAGGGAAAAATCAGTTTGAATAAGGAAAGCGATATCTCTGTCATAGTGTCCTTTCAATGGTTAAAGTTACCAGTCACTGCATGTGTTGCACTTTATTTGTGCCTTTTTGTTTTATTAGCTTATTTTTATTTATCTATTTACCTTTTTTTTATTTAAAATATCATGAAGGATATTGTTTGATAAATGAGATCTCTGATTATAGTCCTTAAAAAAAAAGAAAAAAAAGTAGTGCTTAAAAAGTCCTGGAATTTCATTTTACAGTGTCTGTACGAACCCTGGATATTTGTTTGGACTGATCCATGTTTTCTTTTTGCAGAGAGTGTAAATCATCTAGGAAATCACGAATCAAGATGCCAAGTTGACAGACCTGAAATTGTCATGCAGTCGTCAGATTCTGGACCCTTCACACGCAGCTCAAGACGTCGCCAGAGCGGTGCAATCAGCGATGAGCTGAGCCTGTGCAAAAGAGGCAAAGCAGACCCAGAGAGCTCTTTAACACCCGAAGTTAATGTGCAAGCTGCATCCAGGGAACAAGCAACAGGGATCCCACGAGTGTTAGCGTTGCCTCAGCCTTTAAGTAGCTTTCAGGGTTCTTGCAAACCCATCCAGGCACTTCTGGCCAAGAGTGTTGGAAACAAAGTGACCTTAATAAGTCATCCTAAAGCAGCAGTGATGGCTCAGATTCTGCGGGATAATCACAAGACTTCTGTAGCTCTGCCGCCTATCCGATTATCAACTGCCTGTTCGCCAACTGAACCTGGAACAACTTCGACAACTGAAAGCACTGATCAAGTGGTGTACAAGACGGCGGGTGGCGTTGGGCTTCTCAGGAAAGGAATCACTTCTGCGCAGACAATATCAGATCAAAAATCAATGCAACAAGTTGTTATACTGCCTTCAAATCTACTGATTCAAAGCACTGAGAATAAGGCGTCTACATCGCTCCCTAAGACCGCAACGTTCTTGTCCAACGTTTCAGGCTTCACCATACCGGAAACCAGGGTTCCTGTTCAGCAAGTGGCACCATTAAAAGACACCAGCACTGCCAGAACACCATCTGCTGTAGTTACTCCCAATTTAAGGACTTTAAAGAGCGTTTCTGGAGGTTCTGCCATGCCTAAAAAGACTCCTGAGCCAAAGGTGGTCGTAAATAAATCAGCTAGTAGTGGTCCGACCAGACCTGACGCTAACCAGGAGCTCCGGACAGTGTGCATTAGAGACTCGCAGTCTATCCTAGTCACGACGAGAGGAGGGAACACCGGGGTGGTAAAGGTTCAGACGTCTGAGAGTGGAACGGGGGCATTGCCTCCAAGTCCTGTTTTTACCATATCTCCACAACTCCAAGCCTTTCTCGTGTCGAAGTCTTCCACGTCCACTACACAAGCGGTTTCGGCCACCGTTTCTGCTGATTCTTTACTTGGAGTCACTCCTCAGTCACTCTCGAAGAGAGTCAGCTCATCGACTTTCGTGCCCGGAACTGTCCCTCAATCAACCCTGAATCAGAATAGCAATGATTTGGCCAAAACTAAATCTGCACTCCTGTCCACGAGCAAAGACAGCCACAGCGTCCGTATATCTGCTAAAGACATCCAAGGCTTTCAGGAGAATACAGTCTCCGAATGTGGAACGAAACCCCTACAAAAAAGGCCTCTACCAGGAAGCCGAACTGCTTTCCAAAAGGTTTTCCTCGTCTCGCCTTCACCGAATATCCCTTCGCCAGCATCAAAGGTCAGCGCTACTACAGCAACCTGTACTTTGCCAGGATCAAGAGTCATGTTTATAACTAACTCAGCACTTAATATTCAAAATGAGGCGTCATCTTCAGACGTCAACATATCCTCTACTAGTACACCAGCGTTGAAGGTCATTCCCAAGTTGGGGACAACTTTATCCTGCACTTCTTCTGGCACAAGCATCCAGAGCATCGGTGTCCCAGGGTTGATGTCAAGAATACTCGGTACAAACAAGAATATGCCGTCAGCAACCGAAGCCTCTGTGAAAACTACACCTGTGATCGTCTCCAGAGTTCCTGCGACATCATCAACTTCAAGCGGACTTCAGAAAGTACCTGGGACTGTTGATGGGAAAACGCTCACGTTTTCAACGCTAGGCACCGGCCACATGGCTTCTTCCGCACTTTTATCAGTTGTAAAACCGGATGTACCTTCATCAATTTCAACATTAAATGCTCTGCACTGTAAACCGACTATATCTTCCTCTTCTTCAGGAAGCCTTATTAACAAACACACTACGTTACCAGTTGATGTGAACACTGACAAGACACCAATGATCACATCCCTTTGCACTTCACGCTCACTGGTCAAAACAACTTCTTCTGGAGTATCCAGTCCTCTTGCATTGAGTTCATTGAGTCCAGTGGTCATGACCTCTGGGCTACGACCTCCGACCTCTACCGCCAAGAGTGTCCAGGAGAAAATAGTGATTAATACCACTGCCCCACTTGCCCCTGGAACTCAACTCCTGATCAATAACACCAGATTTGTTGTACCTTCTCAAGGCCTTGCACCCGGCAGCCATGTTCTGCTCATCAACTCTTGTCCTGGAGGATTGCAAGGCTTCAGTTCTGCTTCCCCTGTTCCTCGAGGTCCAAACACTTCAACCCCTGTTACCGTTCCTTCAGTTGTGCAAGGTATGAGATTGGTAACACCAGTCAGGCTACCCTCACCAAAAGTTGGACTTTCAGATCGAGTCAATCAACAACTGAGCACAAGAACGCCAATGAGTGTGTCTGGTCTCTCACAAGCTCTACGCTCTGGTGTATCATCAGACATTGTGAGACTACCAATCTTTCAAACCCCAGTTACACCATCACAAGGTGTCAAAGAAACCTCTCCTCTTCAAGGAGGTTTACTAAGCACAACTTCTCCGATGCTCTTGCAAGGAAGACCATCCCAAAACCAAGTGGTACCCCCAATAAAAACTTCAATTGCACATCATTCACCAATGGTAACCGTTCCACCCATTAACAGCACGATATCACGGATGCAGAAACTTCCAGTTGCAATGGTTCCACCAATCGGTGGTGCAACCACTCCTATTGCAAGTGTTCCTCCGTATATGAACTCCGTGATAATGACACCTATCAGACCTGGGACAATCGGAAAACCTGCTATTTCACCCCATCCACTACAAGGTCAAAACATGGTTCCCAGCCCTAGCAAACTGCTGTTGAGTCCAGATGGTGCCATTTTAAATATAGTTCAAGCTTCAAGCATACAAGTGTTGGCAAAGCCAGTGGTTAGTTCCTCCTCGAGTAGTGTTACTGTGCCTACTTTAAACACAAATGATCCAATGAGAAAACCAGATGCATCGGAGAGATTGAATCACTGAGATCACTCTGGAGGTCTTCTGTTGTTTCCCGTTGTGATTATGGAGGATGCTTTTCTTACTTAGTATTTTTGTCTTGTTTCCAGGCCAAATATCTAGAAATTCTTGAATTAAGAAGCATTTACTAGATGAGTAAAATGCCATAAGATATTATGTCTTGTTTTCTGGGCAAATAAATAAAAATTAAGAGAGTTGTCTGCCAAATAAAAAGAAAGATAATCTTGTTTCTGTTTGAATTAAAGGGATACTCCACCCATAAATGAAATTCTGTCATCATTTACTCACCCTCAAGTTGTTGCAAACCTGTGTGAGTTTCTTTCTTCTGCTGAACACAAAGGAAGATAGTTCCAATCGTTCTTCAAAATATCTTCCTTTGTGTTCAGCAGAAGAAAGAAACTCACACAGGTTTGCAACAACTTGAGGGTGAGTAAAGATGACAGAATTTTCATTTTTGGGTGGAGTATCCCTTTAAGATTATTTTTCTTACCCCATTGACAGATAATTTTGGTTGTTTTAAGCAAAAACTCACTTAATTTTGAATTATTTGCCCAGAAAACAAGACATAATATCTTATGGTATTTTACTTCTCCAGTAAATGCTTCTTGATTTAAGAATGTTTAGATATTTGGCCTGGAAACAAGACAAAAATACTAAGTAAGAAAAGCATTTTTTGCAGTATTCGAATAAGTTGGGATTGTGCGGGCTTCCTTTTCTCCCAATGATGGAGGTTAAACTAAATTAATATTTTGTGCATTTTGCCCTTCACAATACACATTGAGGGAAAATTGGTTATCCTTAGAGTTGGTTTCACCAAGAGAAATTTGGAGATTTCGAATGGCCAGTAATGTACAGTATTTGTTTGCCTGACTCTTTTCTACTCCATTTGTATGCAACGGTTTGAATGTTTTGTAGCATTTTCCATTAAATGATTAATATTATTCTGTAGAACAGTCTTCAGTCTATTTAAGAGTATGTCTGGCAGAAGTAGTGCATTCAGGCGTAGGTTGAGTATTATCAGATGTTATCTGACAACAGTTTGGTTTTGTGTTTCCTCTATATTCATGACAATAAACTTGGCATATATTTATGACTGAAGTAAAAACACTGGTGTGCTGTGCCCGTCCTTTGAGTCCATTAAACCAATTAGAAGATTCCCAGACTGTTTTTTTTTTTTTGTGCAAAAGTTCATTTATTTCAGTAATTCAACTTAAAAGGTGAAACTAATATATTATATAGACTCATTACATGCAAAGTGAGATATTTCAAGCCTTTATTTGTTATAATTGTGATGATTATGGCTTACAGCTTATGAAAACTAGATTAGTTTATTAGAAACATTAAAACAAAATTAGAATATTGTGAAAAGGTTTTCATATCTGTACGCCATAATCATCAAAATTATAACAAATAAAGGCTTGAAATATCTCACTTTGCATGTAATGAGTCTATATAATAGTTTCACCTTTTAAGTTGAATTACTAAAATAAATTAACTTTTGCACCATATTCTAATTTTTCGAGTTTCACCCGAACGTGTGAACTGTGTATAATTATTTTGTATATATAAATACACACACATGCATGTATATATTTAAGAAAAAAATGGTTATTTATATATATTATAAATTATGTATAAACATATATACAGGATCTACATGCAAATATTTCTTAAACTTTGCTTTTGGATTAATTGTTGTCCAGCACTATTAAAATTACATTTTAGTTTTACGATTTAGTTAATTAGCTTTTCATCAGCTCTCAAACCCCATGTAGTTCCTTTATTTTTTTACTTGGAAAAACAAATGCAGTCTTTGTGCTTTACATGAATTGTTTAATTGTGTTGCCTTGAACAGTGATGCCCGTTCACTGCACAAGAAGCTCAGCATCTCTTCATAGAAACGTAGTTTTTCTGGTAAAGGCGAGGAATATGAAGGTACAAGTTTCATTACAGTTGTTGACTTTTACAATTATACATTTGGAAAAGAAATGCATATGTTTGAAAAAGATATTAGTTTAAAAAGTAAATCATCAGTAACGTGAATGTGTGCAGAAATAAACATGCAAAATCTGGCATTTAAAAAATTTATACCTTGAACTAAACTAGAACTTTATTTAAACTCATTAGCTTTAAGTCTGACCATTGATATTCTGTTAAAAGGCGCTTTGGTGTGAGAGATTCTTCAGTCCTCGAGCTCTGCTGTGAATCCTCAGGATCAGGGGTTGAGCTTTACTTCTGTTCATCCTGCTCTTAAACACACGTTTCAGGATCTCCAGGATTCCTCTCCAGCGTTCGAGCTCTTCATGGGGAGTAAGGAGGAGGAGACGGCCCTGAGGCTAACTTCTCGTACGCTGGAGGAGCGTTGGGAATCTGGAGGAGAGACAGCAGCGTCTGTAAGTAAACTATCCTGAAGAAGAGCGACGCATGAAACTACAAACATCATCAGGAGCTTGTGTCCAGAGGAGTGCGTGTCTGTAGTTCTGCAGGTAAAGGAGTGCGTGTCTGTAGTTCTGCAGGTAAAGGAGTGCGTGTCTGTAGTTCTGCAGGTAAAGGAGTGCGTGTCTGTAGTTCTGCAGGTAAAGGAGTGCGTGTCTGTAGTTCTGCAGGTAAAGGAGTGTGTGTCTGTAGTTCTGCAGGTAAATGAGTGCGTGTCTAGTTCTGCAGGTAAAGGAGTGCGTGTCTGTAGTTCTGCAGGTAAAGGAGTGCGTGTCTGTAGTTCTGCAGGTAAAGGAGTGCGTGTCTGTAGTTCTGCAGGTAAATGAGTGCGTGTCTAGTTCTGCAGGTAAAGGAGTGCGTGTCTGTAGTTCTGCAGGTAAAGGAGTGCGTGTCTGTAGTTCTGCAGGTAAAGGAGTGCGTGTCTGTAGTTCTGCAGGTAAAGGAGTGCGTGTCTGTAGTTCTGCAGGTAAAGGAGTGTGTGTCTGTAGTTCTGCAGGTAAATGAGTGCGTGTCTAGTTCTGCAGGTAAAGGAGTGCGTGTCTGTAGTTCTGCAGGTAAAGGAGTGCGTGTCTGTAGTTCTGCAGGTAAAGGAGTGCGTGTCAGTAGTTCTGCAGGTAAAGGAGTGCGTGTCTGTAGTTCTGCAGGTAAAGGAGTGCGTGTCTGTAGTTCTGCAGGTAAAGGAGTGCGTGTCTGTAGTTCTGCAGGTAAAGGAGTGCGTGTCTGTAGTTCTGCAGGTAAAGGAGTGCGTGTCTGTAGTTCTGCAGGTAAAGGAGTGCGTGTCTGTAGTTCTGCAGGTAAAGGAGTGCGTGTCTAGTTCTGCAGGTAAAGGAGTGCGTGTCTGTAGTTCTGCAGGTAAAGGAGTGCGTGTCTGTAGTTCTGCAGGTAAAGGAGTGCGTGTCTGTAGTTCTGCAGGTAAAGGAGTGCGTGTCTGTAGTTCTGCAGGTAAAGGAGTGCGTGTCTGTAGTTCTGCAGGTAAAGGAGTGCGTGTCTGTAGTTCTGCAGGTAAAGGTGCGTGTCTGTAGTTCTGCAGGTAAAGGAGTGCGTGTCTGTAGTTCTGCAGGTAAAGGAGTGCGTGTCTGTAGTTCTGCAGGTAAAGGAGTGCGTGTCTGTAGTTCTGCAGGTAAATGAGTGCGTGTCTGTAGTTCTGCAGGTAAAGGAGTGCGTGTCTGTAGTTCTGCAGGTAAAGGAGTGCGTGTCTAGTTCTGCAGGTAAATGAGTGCGTGTCTGTAGTTCTGCAGGTAAAGGAGTGCGTGTCTGTAGTTCTGCAGGTAAAGGAGTGCGTGTCTGTAGTTCTGCAGGTAAAGGAGTGCGTGTCTGTAGTTCTGCAGGTAAAGGAGTGCGTGTCTGTAGTTCTGCAGGTAAATGAGTGCGTGTCTGTAGTTCTGCAGGTAAAGGAGTGCGTGTCTGTAGTTCTGCAGGTAAATGAGTGCGTGTCTGTAGTTCTGCAGGTAAATGAGTGCGTGTCTGTAGTTCTGCAGGTAAAGGAGTGCGTGTCTGTAGTTCTGCAGGTAAAGGAGTGCGTGTCTGTAGTTCTGCAGGTAAAGGAGTGCGTGTCTGTAGTTCTGCAGGTAAAGGAGTGCGTGTCTGTAGTTCTGCAGGTAAAGGAGTGCGTGTCTGTAGTTCTGCAGGTAAATGAGTGCGTGTCTGTAGTTCTGCAGGTAAAGGAGTGCGTGTCTGTAGTTCTGCAGGTAAAGGAGTGCGTGTCTGTAGTTCTGCAGGTAAATGAGTGCGTGTCTGTAGTTCTGCAGGTAAAGGAGTGCGTGTCTGTAGTTCTGCAGGTAAAGGAGTGCGTGTCTGTAGTTCTGCAGGTAAAGGAGTGCGTGTCTGTAGTTCTGCAGGTAAAGGAGTGCGTGTCTGTAGTTCTGCAGGTAAAGGAGTGCGTGTCTGTAGTTCTGCAGGTAAAGGAGTGCGTGTCTAGTTCTGCAGGTAAAGGAGTGCGTGTCTGTAGTTCTGCAGGTAAATGAGTGCGTGTCTGTAGTTCTGCAGGTAAAGGAGTGCGTGTCTGTAGTTCTGCAGGTAAAGGAGTGCGTGTCTGTAGTTCTGCAGGTAAAGGAGTGCGTGTCTGTAGTTCTGCAGGTAAAGGAGTGCGTGTCTGTAGTTCTGCAGGTAAAGGAGTGCGTGTCTGTAGTTCTGCAGGTAAAGGAGTGCGTGTCTGTAGTTCTGCAGGTAAAGGAGTGCGTGTCTGTAGTTCTGCAGGTAAAGGAGTGCGTGTCTGTAGTTCTGCAGGTAAATGAGTGCGTGTCTAGTTCTGCAGGTAAAGGAGTGCGTGTCTGTAGTTCTGCAGGTAAAGGAGTGCGTGTCTGTAGTTCTGCAGGTAAAGGAGTGCGTGTCAGTAGTTCTGCAGGTAAAGGAGTGCGTGTCTGTAGTTCTGCAGGTAAAGGAGTGCGTGTCTGTAGTTCTGCAGGTAAAGGAGTGCGTGTCTGTAGTTCTGCAGGTAAAGGAGTGCGTGTCTGTAGTTCTGCAGGTAAAGGAGTGCGTGTCTGTAGTTCTGCAGGTAAAGGAGTGCGTGTCTGTAGTTCTGCAGGTAAAGGAGTGCGTGTCTGTAGTTCTGCAGGTAAAGGAGTGCGTGTCTGTAGTTCTGCAGGTAAAGGAGTGCGTGTCTGTAGTTCTGCAGGTAAAGGAGTGCGTGTCTGTAGTTCTGCAGGTAAAGGAGTGCGTGTCTAGTTCTGCAGGTAAAGGAGTGCGTGTCTGTAGTTCTGCAGGTAAAGGAGTGCGTGTCTGTAGTTCTGCAGGTAAAGGAGTGCGTGTCTGTAGTTCTGCAGGTAAAGGAGTGCGTGTCTGTAGTTCTGCAGGTAAAGGAGTGCGTGTCTGTAGTTCTGCAGGTAAAGGAGTGCGTGTCTGTAGTTCTGCAGGTAAAGGAGTGCGTGTCTGTAGTTCTGCAGGTAAATGAGTGCGTGTCTGTAGTTCTGCAGGTAAAGGAGTGCGTGTCTGTAGTTCTGCAGGTAAAGGAGTGCGTGTCTGTAGTTCTGCAGGTAAAGGAGTGCGTGTCTGTAGTTCTGCAGGTAAAGGAGTGCGTGTCTGTAGTTCTGCAGGTAAAGGAGTGCGTGTCTAGTTCTGCAGGTAAATGAGTGCGTGTCTGTAGTTCTGCAGGTAAAGGAGTGCGTGTCTGTAGTTCTGCAGGTAAAGGAGTGCGTGTCTGTAGTTCTGCAGGTAAAGGAGTGCGTGTCTGTAGTTCTGCAGGTAAAGGAGTGCGTGTCTGTAGTTCTGCAGGTAAATGAGTGCGTGTCTGTAGTTCTGCAGGTAAAGGAGTGCGTGTCTAGTTCTGCAGGTAAAGGAGTGCGTGTCTGTAGTTCTGCAGGTAAATGAGTGCGTGTCTGTAGTTCTGCAGGTAAAGGAGTGCGTGTCTGTAGTTCTGCAGGTAAAGGAGTGCGTGTCTGTAGTTCTGCAGGTAAATGAGTGCGTGTCTGTAGTTCTGCAGGTAAATGAGTGCGTGTCTGTAGTTCTGCAGGTAAAGGAGTGCGTGTCTGTAGTTCTGCAGGTAAAGGAGTGCGTGTCTGTAGTTCTGCAGGTAAAGGAGTGCGTGTCTGTAGTTCTGCAGGTAAAGGAGTGCGTGTCTGTAGTTCTGCAGGTAAAGGAGTGCGTGTCTGTAGTTCTGCAGGTAAATGAGTGCGTGTCTGTAGTTCTGCAGGTAAAGGAGTGCGTGTCTGTAGTTCTGCAGGTAAAGGAGTGCGTGTCTGTAGTTCTGCAGGTAAAGGAGTGCGTGTCTGTAGTTCTGCAGGTAAAGGAGTGCGTGTCTGTAGTTCTGCAGGTAAAGGAGTGCGTGTCTGTAGTTCTGCAGGTAAAGGAGTGCGTGTCTGTAGTTCTGCAGGTAAAGGAGTGCGTGTCTGTAGTTCTGCAGGTAAAGGAGTGCGTGTCTGTAGTTCTGCAGGTAAAGGAGTGCGTGTCTAGTTCTGCAGGTAAAGGAGTGCGTGTCTGTAGTTCTGCAGGTAAATGAGTGCGTGTCTGTAGTTCTGCAGGTAAAGGAGTGCGTGTCTGTAGTTCTGCAGGTAAAGGAGTGCGTGTCTGTAGTTCTGCAGGTAAAGGAGTGCGTGTCTGTAGTTCTGCAGGTAAAGGAGTGCGTGTCTGTAGTTCTGCAGGTAAATGAGTGGGTGTCTGTAGTTCTGCAGGTAAAGGAGCGCGTGTCTGTAGTTCTGCAGGTAAAGGAGCGCGTGTCTGTAGTTCTGCAGGTAAAGGAGCGCGTGTCTGTAGTTCTGCAGGTAAAGGAGCGCGTGTCTGTAGTTCTGCAGGTAAAGGAGTGCGTGTCTGTAGTTCTGCAGGTAAAGGAGTGCGTGTCTGTAGTTCTGCAGGTAAAGGAGTGCGTGTCTAGTTCTGCAGGTAAAGGAGTGCGTGTCTGTAGTTCTGCAGGTAAATGAGTGCGTGTCTGTAGTTCTGCAGGTAAAGGAGTGCGTGTCTGTAGTTCTGCAGGTAAAGGAGTGCGTGTCTGTAGTTCTGCAGGTAAAGGAGTGCGTGTCTGTAGTTCTGCAGGTAAAGGAGTGCGTGTCTGTAGTTCTGCAGGTAAAGGAGTGCGTGTCTGTAGTTCTGCAGGTAAAGGAGTGCGTGTCTGTAGTTCTGCAGGTAAAGGAGTGCGTGTCTAGTTCTGCAGGTAAAGGAGTGCGTGTCTGTAGTTCTGCAGGTAAATGAGTGCGTGTCTGTAGTTCTGCAGGTAAAGGAGTGCGTGTCTGTAGTTCTGCAGGTAAAGGAGTGCGTGTCTGTAGTTCTGCAGGTAAAGGAGTGCGTGTCTAGTTCTGCAGGTAAAGGAGTGCGTGTCTGTAGTTCTGCAGGTAAAGGAGTGCGTGTCTGTAGTTCTGCAGGTAAAGGAGTGCGTGTCTGTAGTTCTGCAGGTAAAGGAGTGCGTGTCTGTAGTTCTGCAGGTAAAGGAGTGCGTGTCTGTAGTTCTGCAGGTAAAGGAGTGCGTGTCAGTAGTTCTGCAGGTAAAGGAGTGCGTGTCAGTAGTTCTGCAGGTAAAGGAGTGCGTGTCTGTAGTTCTGCAGGTAAAGGAGTGCGTGTCTGTAGTTCTGCAGGTAAAGGAGTGCGTGTCTGTAGTTCTGCAGGTAAAGGAGTGCGTGTCTGTAGTTCTGCAG